GAAGTAAGATACAAAAACGTTACGGTTTAAACCAATAAAAGTCCACGTGGCTTTAGAAAATGAATAACATTGTCGGTCGCGCACCTACAGCGAAGCCATAAAAAGACCATATCAAATGAAATTATATACTAAATTATCTAATATTAATTATTATGAACTAATTAATATGTAATGAAAATGACATTCCGGAAAGTTTATGGAGTCAACGAGAACCAAATTATTAAATTGTGATGGTAATTTTCTTTCTGCTTGAGAGGAATAAAAAAAGATAGCAATATCTATACTTACGTGGAACCTTTGTACATACTGTGTTTTATTATTTACATGATTGTCCTCAGAGGGGAATTTACCTTAAAAAATTGCAGGCGCGGATCAAGCCATTTTGAAAAAGGGGGTCCAACCCTTGGAACACCATGAAACGTTCACATAATTAAAACAATGAAAAAGGGGGTTGCAACCCCGGAACACCCTCCCCTCTGGATCCGCCAATGAATTGTATTGAGTTTTTAAATGAACACTTCACCAATAAATAGTCATTTGTCCATTTATCATTCGAAAATCAACACTGAAATCAAAGATCTGCTTACCCTTCCAGAGCACCTGAGATCACCCCTGGTTTCTTCTGGGGTTCGTGTTGCTCAGTCTTTAGGTTTCTATTTCTATGTTGTGTTCTATATTCTGTTCTTTGTGTTTTGATTATTTTTTTTTTGTATTTTTGCCATGCCATTGTCAGTTTGTGCTCAGTCTTTAGGTTTCTATTTCTATGTTGTGTTCTATAGTCTGTTCTTTGTGTTTTGATTGTTTTTCGTTTTTTTGCCATGCCATTGTCAGTTTTTTTTCGAGTTTGAATATCACTTTGGTATCTTTCGCCTTTCTTTTTCTACCGCTGCTAAATTTATATTTTCAATATTTTAAATGAAGTATAATTTTTCCAGAAATTCGAAACAGTATATTATAAAATTAGTATGAACATGTCCAAATTCCTCTAAATGAATTTTATTTTTTTGTGGTGTTGCATTGCTGTCCCTTATATAATTCACACTTCCATTTATACATAATAAACAAATATCGAACATTGAAAATAGTACCGGGTATTCAGTGGCAATTGAAGTGAATGTCTGTCTTATGTATACTTTTTAAAGCTGCATGCTTTGAATTCAATTTTTGAAGGATTTTAGTTTGTAATTACCAATTATGTCCGTTTGGGTTGATCACCCAATATAATGAAACTATAAACAAAATTCTGTCATATAAGTAGGAAGTTTAATAAGCTTTTAAACCAGGTTTAACCCACCATTTTCCTTGGAATTCGGTATTTGTTTTAAAAAATTACGCCCAAAGAGGCAGGTGCTATAAAGTATCCCACGTAACATTGCTGAAATATTTTCTGCTGTTTTTTCACATATTTAGTCAGCATCAAAATATTTCATAGTTCTTATAACGTATGCAAATGATATGCAAATGATATGTAAATAATAGGATTAATTCAAGTGTTATATGATCACTAAATGACAAAAGCTCTTTCTAAGTGAAAACAGGGTATTGTTCTTCCGTTGCTTAAGGTTACAAAATGGACACATTAAAATGCATTTTGAGTAGGAAAGGCACTCCTGTATTATCAATGTCGAAACACCGAATTCCGATACTGTAAACGAGGAACGCTTTTGAAAATTTATAGTCTTTAATTATATTTCTCTTACTCAATAATGTAATTACATTTTTACATCTGACAAAAATAAATATAACCGCAAAAGGAAATGTTTATTTACACTTAAAATTTCCGCAAATAATGCATTTATTAGCAGATATGTTTGGTGGTCTTGAAAGGCACCATGAGCAAAGGGCTGAAGTCATAGTGCTCCAAGCAAATCCTTAAATAAATATAATTTCTTTTTCTCTTTGTACTTGTATCAACAAATTGCGTTTGTTAAAAGAAATGTCGTGAACACTGGATACATTAATTTTCTGTCCGCTTCAAACATTTAAAGAGGCAAATACAAGATTTTGAAGGCGCTCACGGGAAAATAAATTAAATCTATTACGAAAAATTCAATTTCTGTTTTTGTAAAATTTAGTCGCTTTATTTAATCAGTGATCTCATTAAATCGAATATTTGTGAAAGCTGAGCAAATTACTACCGGATGTTTGTATTAAAATGGACCAAACGCATTTCATTGACTTCGGAAATTGTAATTTTAACTAATAAAGGTAATTCATTTGTAAAGTTGCGAAAGAATAACAATATTACATTTTAATAATATTTTGTAGAATGTTTAAAAAGCGAATCTTCATGCCCCAGGGCAATATATCGCTTGTAAGGCGTTATTTATTCCCGCTACGATTTATAACTGACCACCCTTAAATCACGCCCATTTTTGTTGTAAGCACGTAATTGGCGAGTCGTTAAAAGATGATTTTAGGTATAACTGGTTTGCCAAATAATACATATTGTCTAACTGTGATTTTGCTTTATATGTAGCCAACTTGATTTGTGTAAAATTAGTAAATTTATACTGGTTGTTTTAAAACAAAAACATTCGATTGAATCTGTAGTTTTCGAGTAAAATGATTTCAAGTCAAAACTTTTTCAACTTTTTTAGCATGAAAAATATAATAAAACTTGATTACTTTGACCTGTTTTTAAGTTCATAAATTTTAATTTCCCATTTATTATGATTTGTCAAGATCTGAAATTTATCAATCAAGGATCGATATCTTGAATAGATATCCATTAATGCATTCGGAAAAGTTTACAATTGGGTCTTTTAAGACCTAATACGTGGGAGACGCAACGCTAGTGCAATAATACAGCGGTCAATGTATGACAAGCTTTAGATTATCCCTAGTTTAATAATAGAAAAGAAAGAATGCGGTGTATCAACTCGTAACACAAAAAAACTATAGGAGCATGAAAAAAAAAACAACACCAAAAGCATAGGAACAGCGCTTTTATTGTTGTTCTTCTTTCGACAACTTGTAAAAAAAAATAATAGGAATTGTGAGATAACAGGACATCTATAAGTAAAAATCAAATTCTTCAGAGACTTATTGAAAGACATATTGCAACAACCAAACTAAGAAACCATATAAACAAAAGGAAACGAGGAATGATTGTCGAATATCGAAGGTCAAAAATCCCAGTTCAATACAAATTGATCTACATCTTTAAGGGGATATTTGAACAATTTATAAAATACCTAAAGGTGCTTTAATCGGATACATTTTCACAGAGTATGCATAAAACAATCTAGTTTCACGATTCATTGGTTTGCTTTACGGCCAATAGCGAATATTTCGGGCATGTTCAGGACGAGAACAAATCAAATACACACATAACAAGTAGTTGCTTGGTACTGTGGCTGGACTGGATGTAGGACGCAAATGTTTGGCTGTCACTGGAAAAAGAGGAAATATTGGATAGAGCAGAAATGTCGTATAGCGAGAACAGGCTTTCTAAAAGAGTTGTCGCAAATGGTCTTTAACGTGCAGAGAACGTGATAGTCCATCTATATACATGGAGTATCAGATTCAAAGGTCCCAAGTCCAAGCGGACGCGACTGTGTGTTTATACATCCAACATAGCCAAACGGACGTCACAAACGGGAAAAAGTCAAGGTAACCATATTTCTTAACACCCTCCGAGTCTAGTGCTCAATAAAATGTTGTGTGAAAACGATTTTGATTGAAAATGTGTATTTGTGCGTGTATATCTATTTTAATTTCTTACAAGGAAATTCATAAAAACAAGTTGAAAGTTGAGTGTTACAAAGAGTGTATTGAAATTGATATTTAGGGAAACGAAAAGACACGACGTATAGCTATGTCTTTCCGTATAATACAGCCAAGTCTTTCTTAATACAATATTTCTTTCGTTCAATTAAATGAAATTATCATGTTCGTATCATAAAGATTTGTCCTTCCGTTTAAATGAACGAAAATAACTTGTATTAATCCAAAGGCTAACAATTTATTAGTAACACATCCCAGTAGAATACCAGCTCATGTTGGTTATGGGAATTGTTCATGCAATATCAATTTTATATCTGGACCATGTTATGAGACTGCAAAGTTGAATGTGGCTCAAAATTTACCTACCACACAACCATTGTATTAGATTTGGCCTACCAACTGTTTAATTTTAAGCGCCATTGAAGAGTCTTATATAGACGAAACGCGCGTCTGGAGTTATAACTATTATTATAAAAATAAGAAGATGTGGTATGATTGCCAATGAGATAACTCCCCACAAGAGACCAAATGACATAGAAATGAACCACTATAGGTCATCGTAAGGCCTTTAACAATGAGCAAAAACCATACCGCATAGTCAGCTATAAAATGCCCCGAAATGACAAATGTTAAACCATTCAAACGAGAAAACTAACGGCCTGATTTATGTAAGCTTGTTATCTTTGATGATTTCTTTTTTTTTTTACCTTGCTTTATGCCTACCAAATATTTGATGGATATAAAAGCAATATTTCTCAGACAAAACCAACCAATACAATATAAACATCTGACAAAATTATATGGATGTCAGTTATAACGTCTGTTTTGATATTGTAACACAGTGATGACTGCTGTACCCATATTTTGACTATTTCATTTATAATGTCTGTTTTGTTCACGCATCGTTGTAAATATAACGGAATTTGATAAGACTGTCGTACAAGTGAGAGGTTTAGCGCTATAAAACCAGGTTCAATCCACCATTTTCTACATTTGAAAATGCCTGTACCAAGTCAGGAATATGACAGTTGTTGTCCATTCGTTTGATGTGTTTTGTCATTTGATTTTGCCATGTGATTAGGGACTTTCCGATTGAATTTTCCTCGGAGTTCAGTATTTTTGTGATTTTACTTTTTTTTTTTTTTTTTTTTTTATAATATTACAAATCGAAGTGGAAAAAGACGACATGAGCATAAAACAGAAGACCTTCAAAAACAGGAAGTCTAGGTTTCACGGAAACTGAAACAAACTATAAAAAACAGAATAATAAAGAATCTTTTAAAATTTTAATAGCGATTACTCGTCATTATTAAAATGCGTCAAATATAACAATGTATAAAATGTATAACAAAATTAGCACTTTGTTCCAGCATCAGATATATAATATAAAATTATCACGTATAAAATTGGAAGACAAACATGTAACAATACAAAACTCAACAATGTTTTGGTCAGACAAACGTCTACCATGGTCGCCACAATTTTTCAGAATACATATTCATGTTAACATTTCCACAATGAATTGGGTGATTGTGATTAAAGTCCAATGCCTTAGGTGTACTTGAATGAACATACTGGCTATTTTTGTTCGAGTCTTGATAACTAAAGTTCTCTTTATTGCGAAGAGTTGTCGGTGATGAAACTACTTTGACGGTTTCCTGTGGCACTTGTAAGGAGAAGACAGGAACTGTAGTCTGCGTTGTACATTCATTGTCATTTAATTGTCCAACATATAATGCAACTGGACCGTTTAATCCATTTCCTGGAATTATTTGAAAAGCACCGGAAATTTGAGTTTTAGTGTCCCGAGTAGGTGACAACTGAATAAATCGCTGAGGTTGATTGATTGTTTGTGACTGATTGATTGATTGACTGATCACTTGCGATTGGTTCATTGATTGTGAATTCAGACCATTTACTCGGACTGTCGTCTGCTGTTGAGATAGATGCACGTGCTGCTGTTGTGGAATGTTAATAGGTTGAGGCTGCGTCTGGGCAGTCTGTGTTGTAGCGTTGACAGTTTGTGAACATGATGACAAATGATTCACTAATCGGCTTCGGACGTCGTCGTTGACATTTTGCACGCTCCCCAAGTATCTCATAACTTCATTTGTACACTCATTAAATCCTGATCGATATTTGGTAATCACAGTTGGGTCGCTTGCAAGAGCACTGGACATCTGTTGTCTTTGTAGTGATCGTAAATGTTTCACGGTCATTTCTAAAATATCAGCCTTTTCAAGTTTTGAATACTGTGAGCTCTGAAATTATAAAATAGAGTCATATTAACTAATATATACTTTAATTCAAAATTAATATTTGTCGTTATATGTTTTCCCGGACTCGACAGGGGATTTATAATTTTGCAATATCATCCGGGTTGTTGACCGTCTGGTCAAAAATAATCTTGTATGTAGCTTTTGTATTCGAGGTTCGATTAAAACCCAATACCTGTGATAAAATCATAATCTACAACAATCTCGCCGTTGATCCTTAGTATCAACCTGCTACAATGACAGTAGGCGCGTGACTGTATATTGTTAATATATCCAATTAAACCTGGCCCTAATACTTATCAATCGGGTCCAATTTTTTTAAATCAATGAACATTCCAGGGTCCGATTTAAACTATTGATTTAATCACGATGAATCTGCACATTCACACCCCACCACAAAGTTAAAAATAATTAACAATAGTTCAAGATTACAAACGTTGGTAAATAGTTATCAAAATGTACTAAGAACTCAGAAGAAGGATACGTCCTCGCATAAATCACTTTACGTGTTAGAGAAACATATACATAGACAAATTAATAATATTAAGTAAAGGTACCACTTGTACTGCACCAGATGAGCATTTTGAACATTAATGTCTTTTCAGTGATGCTCGAGGTCAAAATTATTAAAAGTTCAAAACATAACACAAGCAATGAGATAAGAATTATTGACGTACTTTTGATGCAACTGCAGAAGAACTAACGAAAAAAAAATGAAAAAAAAAAAATGAAATATATACTTACATCTTTCCTCATAGCTTCCAAGACCAAAGTTTTCAGTTGCTGTAAACAACTGTTGATTCTAGCACGCCTTCTCTTTTCCATTATCGGCTTGTTAGTCTGAAAATGAAAGTAAAACTTAAGAAACCTGACAAAACAAAAAAGATCTATTGAGAAGAATGATTGTATATAACTACCACTTTAATCTTATAAAGTTATTTATAAGTTGTTTTTTTTTTCTGAAGTGTATAAAGTATTAAAAATGAACAACCTTTCTTACTGACATTTCCTTTCTTTCTCATACAGTTATTTATAAGTTCCATTTTTTTGTCTTAAGTGTTAAAAGTATGAAAATTCTGTTACCTTTCTTATTGATATTTTCTTTTCTTTTTCATTTGGAATATCCGGTGAAGTTACAGACATTTTGTGTTCAATTTCCAGTTTTCAGTATAATAAGTCCTAGCAAGAGTGGGTTTGAAAAATAATTGTCACAATTTCAGTTTACACGGTATTTATATGACAGGCCACATGTTTCAATCTTGTGTGATGGCATTTCAACGGACTTTCTCACGGATAGAATCCATTACTGTTAACCAATCAAAATATAGAATTGCAAGGGTTAAAGGTAACGGTCTCGTGCCTAGTGGAATTTCATTGGTTAGCGACAGGTGGTTTTTAAAAAAGTGATGTATCGGCATGTCAATCATTACAAGGATAAATAACTCCACGTGCCATTATGACTATCTGGCAGTAGTGCAAAAGTGTGGGAAAACCACGCCTTCCAGGTACGAACGTCTGTTAAGTGAAGGTATGTAAACACGACTCGTTGATAAACGACCATGATTAAACAAAGAGTTTATATACGTCTCGCGACTACGTTATCGGTAAACTAACCGTGTGCCCGTTGGAATGTGAACTATTGTATTTGGTCGTGGGAAAATGCCTTTAGTGGTTAGAAAGAAAACTTTATCTGATAAAGTGATTTAAAAAGTGATCGTCAACAAAAACTATCAATACAGCAGATACTAACATCTGCTTCCGGAAATATAAGCTCAAACTTGTTTTTCTAACTGTGTATTTTACAGTTATATTATTTTATAAATAGTTATTAGCTCATGAACGGACACGCAGGATTGAGATAGGGCTATTTTATGTATTATGTGTGTACATGTAGAAACACATTAAATATAGAACAGTTAAACTTTCTTTTATTTTAATTAAACGTGAACCAAAGCAAAAACTCATAAAAGATACCACGCTTGTTATTGTGTATACCAGACCAGCATTTCGTCCACCTCTTCAGCATATACAGAAGAAGAAGATGCTTTATTTCCATCAAATGGGCTCACAAGGAGCATAATATAATATCATTATAATATTATTTTTACAAATATAATAAACAATACAGTATACATGCTTAATAATAAGTTGAAGAGGATTGAAAACCGAAAATTCCAACCGATGATATCACTAGTTTTTATGGCACATCAGAAACCATGATGATCTGTTATGCTAATACAAACAAAACATAAAAAAAATATATCATAGTAAAGGTTTTTACAAAACCATAGTGTATTGTTTTGTGTGTATAAATGTCATGCTGCCCATCAAGGGCTCTTAATTGGAACAATAAAGATTCTTATTCTCATATTTTCTCTCTCTCTCTCTCTCGATCTCGACTATACGAAAAATATTTTGGAAACACTGTACAGAATTGATATATATCTAACAAAAAATAAAAAAGCAAGAAAAGTTGTATAATTGCTGTATTGTTCAGTGCTTTCGTCCATCTTGAAACTTTCACAAAATGAAATAAATCGCTACAAATATATATGTAAAGCAATTATAAACAAAATCTTGCTTTTCAGATCTTAAGTTATATTTGTAAAATACATCAATGAGAAAATAACCCATCGTCTTAAAATCAAAAGACATCTAGAGGTCATTCTTCTGGTAAGTTTCCATATTTTACAGGAACATAAACATGTTGCAGCTTTTTTTTTTTTTTTTCTCAACCCTTTTAATATTGAGCAGCCAGTGGAACAACAAAAGGTACAAGTAGACCTATAATAAAAATTAGTTTAGAAAAAGCACCATTCTAATTAAAAAAATATATAGATCAGTGTATTCTCTATGTTCATTAGAGCTTCGACGAGAAAGCGAACTATACGAAAGATCTATATTTTAATTAGATTGGAAAAATTCCCTAAAGTGTAAAAGATCTAGACAGCAAAAGCATTGGTACAAGACAAACAATTATGCCACTAGTCGGGAGAATGGACTGCTTACCCTTCCGGGAAGCCTGAATTCATTCCCCGGATGTTGGTGGGTGTATGTGCTGTCCGATCTTCAGTTTTCTTTTTGGTGTTGTGTGGGCTGTTCTTTGTCTTTTCATCGTTTGGTTATTGGCCATGGTATTGTCTGTTTTTCGTCGACTAAGGGAGCTAACATTTGATTTTTATGGGGGGGGGGGGGGGGTGAAAAATTTTGTCCTGCATTTTTTTTTAGTTGTAATCTCTGTCCTGCCTTTTTATTTTTCACTCTATTCGGTCCTGCCTTTTTTTTAAAAGTTTATCCTGACTTTTTTTTAACTAGATTGTCATCCTGACTTTTTTTGCAAGTGTCTCATCCTGCCTTTTTTTTTACTCAAAACTCCTGTCCTGCATATAGTTTTCAAATTTCATCCTAGCCTACCCCCCCCCCCCCCCCCCCCCATAAAAATCAAATGGTAGCTCCCTAATGGTATTTGATTATCAACTTGATATCTCTCTCTCTCTCTCTTTCCCTCTCTGTCTCTCTTTTTTTTTAAATAATGCAGTACCAAAGAATGATTAAAGTATCCATGTTGTAAAAGTTTTTTAAGTGATGAAAATATAACGCAAATCCAAATGTCATACGCCACACACACGGGCATATGAAACCAATTCATAAATTAATCCTCAAGTCAAAGGAGCCAACACAAAATCTCGCGAAGGAAAGAAATATGATTAAAATTATAATTTTGCAATAAAGATTATCATTACTAGGAAAGAAAAAAGACGTCCCGTTTGTCATAAACTTTCGTATGGAGCAAGAGAAATTTTATAAATTTTCTGTTTCGCTTAACAAAATTGAAAATTTTAATACTTTTAAAGTTAAAACAACTGATTTAACCTATGTACCGTTACAACACTGTGTTACGCAATAACGTCACTTATCATGTTAAAATCGCCACGCCTAAATAGATAATGACGTAATATTTTGTCAACAGTGGCCGTAAAAGCCATTATGGAGATAATGGTATAATTAAACGCACATAAAAGAACCATTTCCAAAGGACATTAGAGGGACTACCGAACAGATAATTATTGTTTAAAATGAACATTACGATTGCTTCTCAAGTATATAACGAGATTATGGTTACTTCTAAAACTTAGATTAAAAGAAAATAGTCAAAATAATGAAAAGGTGCTCCGAAAGGAAGTGGGCGTTGTTACCTGCATTCTAGCCATCTTTCATTTGAAGTTTATTGAAAGCTTGATCTTTAAAGACAACAAACTTAGGAATCTGAAAGTACTCTAGTTATTTCCAAGGTGACGTATTAATACCTAAACGATTATTATGGTAAAATGCTTACTTATAATACATGCACTATAAACTAAAGGAATATAACCTGATTTATAAGTTGTCAGGAAACTTTTGTAAGCGCAGTATGGGTGGTTACCGGAAACTGCAGCATGTTTCAGTCAAATTTCGTTTGGGGAAATTCACTCATGTATAAAAACAACATTCCGTTTGTACATGGGCATATTGTATTTGACATGCAACTCGTGTTAGGGTGGTTTCATTTATAAATTGTAGCGTTTCTATCATGTGTAAATCAAAGAAAACGCAATTAAATACATTTTTTATACATGACATCTTGCAACTAACCATTGAACATACTTCCGACCGTCAGGAGAGTTATATTTCACATGTTATAGCGTACAGTACATATCTTGAAATGCACAATTTAGTAGAACTATGCATACTGACAATTTTGTTGTATATTACTCACTATGTTGGTTTTAAGTATATTTTTCTTGCATATTTATTACATCTCACCATTTATTTTTTGTACTGTGTTATACTTGACAGTTGTGGGTGTAATAAAGATATATAATACGCAATGAATAATCAAATGTCTTTTTTTTTGTATCGAACGATCTAGTTTTGCCAACGGTTTTCAGTGGCGTAGAAACAAACTTAAACGTGGGCAAAAAAAATAAAAAAATGAAAAAGTAATATTTGTAGTCTAAAAGTCTAGAAGTAGGTCAGTGTCTTCTTTCATTTCCCCTTTCATTCGTTATATGCAATAAATAAAATTACCACAAAGTGGGGGCACAAAAACTCTTGCCGCCCCGGCTTCTACGCCTGTGGTGTCGTTTACGATCTTATTGGCGGCTCCACGTATATGGATATATGAAATCTTCTGCATTTATAATACTGATTCCTAAAACATACTAACTATGAATAGTTGTAACGCCTTAAAATATATTTATAGGAAATAGATATTACTTTACTTAAACTTTGCAGTATTATTATGAGTATATTCATTGGAGGGTAGAGGAGTGTGTGGCTGAAACTTCTCTATTTCAAGTTGAACAAAAAAGAACCCGTCATTCTTCATTTCTCCATGTTAATTTAGGATATCTGCGGTGTTTTCCATACATCATTGGGTTGGTGGGATGAACTCGGGAAAAATTGGAAGGGAAAAGAGTAGATAGGCGTAAAGACATTATATTATGATAATTTCGCACGGTATGATCTGAATGGACAAAAGTAACGATACACAAGTTTGAACTTCACAATTTATCATAAGAGATAATAAATAGGAAAAACTGAAATACAATTTTAAAGATTTAAAAAAAAATTCGTGTATTTGCCTTAAATCAATGGTTTTGATAAGAAAATAACACTGTAAATATTAGACCAATTGGGCGATTATTTACCTTGGTACAGTGTATCCTGTTTCATTATATAAGGAAAATACATTGCCTTGTATCGTTTTTTTTGTTGACTAGTATATATCAACTTAAGAATAACAGATAAATTGAATGATAACATAATTATATACTAAATAAACCTGGATTTGACTGATGGGACAACATCTAGAGAAAAACATATTCCTCACTTAAAATCTAAAAAATATATAAAAAAGGATTAATTTATTGTAATGTCGACATAACTCAGGACAGGGTACATTTAAAAATATTTACTTGTAAGATTTAATAAATTTTATCATCAGTTGTTTGATTGTCAGAAACTTTATATATTTTGATTGTGATCATGCCTTGATACTAATATGTAAGTTTTTAATATTTAAACAATTTTAGGTAGGTTTCGAAGGTGAAGTTATCGAGTAATTAATAAAGCATAGTAAGGGTATTATTTTCAGTATCGGTCTTGGATTTTTGAAACGGGGATCGTAAATTAAGAACATATGGAATTTAAACCGCCGAGCGAAGTGAGTCAAAACAATTTATGACAGATTTTATGCTAATAAAAAAATCATTAAAATAATGAAAAATATAAGATTTTTATATTTTTTT